GGTCTAGGGGAAGGGTGTTTCGGTGGTTTAACCCCCCCCCCCCCCCCTGGGCGGCCATGTGAAAAAGACGAAAAAAAAGGAAACCAGTAAAACGGCGCGATTTTTGGAAAAAAATTGGTCAAACCCCCCCCCCCCCCCCCCCCCCCCCCTTGGTAAAAGCTTGATCCGCCCCTGGTAATTATCAAGTGATCATGGTTTACACTGCGTCCAAAAAAAGGAAACCAGTAAAACGGCGCGATTTTTGGAAAAAAATTGGTCAAACCCCCCCCCCCCCCCCCCCCTTGGTAAAAAGCTTGATCCGCCCCTGGTAATTATCAAGTGATCATGGTTTACACTGCGTCCAATTGGCGGGAAATATTATCATGGATACATATAGCAATTTCTAGATCATGTGTGTTGATTTTTGACGTGTCTCTGCTTTGCTGGATATTAGGGTGTCGGTTTTCCATTCTCATTATCGGGCAAGGTGAGAAGAAGTAAATTGCTGATACTGCTTCGAAATTGTAAACCACCTGAGACAGGCCGTCTAAATTTCATTCTAGTGATGGCAGTCGTGCCTAGATACAATGTATGATTGCAGTTTTAAAGACTTCGGCAAAGATCGATATATCTTATTCATCCCAAAGAAGATTCCTTTTATATATTAAAGAAACAGTTTCAGGTGAACAACATAGCAATGAATGACCGAGAAAATGTTCGGAATGCTTGCAAGATCGACCAAATGCTATTTAAAATCTTACGTCATCAACAAATCCACGAAAATGTTAAAGTCTGCAAACACGTTGATTTCGGCGGACGCTCGGGGTTTTTTTTAATTACCCCCCCCCCCCCCGATCATGGGTCAGGATGGGAGAAATGCAATGCGATCTAGAATGTAATGTAACCATTTTCGCGAACTGTTATCCTCTCGTGTCTTTTACGTATCATTATCTCTGTGATTATCAATATGCTTTTTGTGATGACGGTAAAATGAGTTAAAAATGTTTGAGCCAGATGAGATTCACATACTGAGCCTTTTCCATGAATCCTATATACGCCAAAAAGGGGGTGAATAAAAGGCAGTGGAAACGGAAAAAAGTCCAAGAAATCATATGCATTTTCCCTTTGCTCCTGGGTTATTAAACAATAACAATAGCCTTTACAACCAAAGGTCTTATCAACTTTCTGCTATCTGAAATGGATTATTTCTTTTGAAGAGGAATGGTTGCATGCACCTGCTCATATTGATCAATTTTTTTTTTATATGACTATTCTTCCATATAGTCTTGCTATTTCAAAATAAAGATATATTAGCCGTGGGCAGATTTGTACAAACGTTTTGTATGGGCCTCGTGCGTGGACACAAGTCGCTTCTAAATTGTACGCCATCCGATTAAATATTGATTGAAATGATATATTTCAATTTCCGTCAAACTGTTAAAAATATATTCTTACACCTAAAAGCACATTAATGTTTTTATATTTTCATATAGTCGTGTTTTTATTTGTATTCACCATAAATTGATCTGCCCATAAGGAACTTCTTTTCATCGCGTTTCCGATGCAGTCAATATAAAACATGGCTCATACATTCATTCCGTTCTTATTACCAGGAAGGCCTGCAAGGAACAGGTGCATTAATTATCCCAAAGCAAATGTTTTGAGACCGTAGATTTCTATAAAAGAAAATCCAATCACATTGCGAGGCGCTTCATGACCCCTCAGGGAACCTTGAGTTCGAGCAATTTGTAAGTCTAATTTGAATTTATTCTGGTTGAACCTTCAACGCATTTTTCAAGATTGACAACGTCGTACGTTTTATCTGTCTGACAAGGGGAAAGGCTTTGAAAATATCAAACCTGTAGCAGTAATACGAAGCATTAAATTTGCAATGGTGCATTTTACAAATCTCTCCGTCTGATTACACGTCCACCGCTAGATTTAAGAAGATTACCTACACCTATCACACAATTGACCATTCGACCTAAAGCGTGTTCCATTGATACCCTCTCCGCGGTGCCAGCAAACAGGTCCAACGTCTATGAAGAGGTTTGAACGTATTCATGAGGGAGTTCATCGTGGTTTTTCTAACCCGTTGCCCGGCACCACTTGACTTGACGAGCATCCGAACGATCGGCGAATGGGCGCATCGGGGACTGTCCCAATTGCGCTGAAAGTATTCCGAAAGATAACAAGTATAATAGACTACGACGTAAAAGGAAAAGGCATGAGCAATATACCTTAATTATATGAAGAAACTGATAATGGAAAACAATAAATTTGAGGTAAATTCAGTCAGTTGTAGATTTCACTGGACTTGTACAAGTTGCAGCTCTTTGGGAACACGCGCAATTGAAATGATATGACCTTAGTCTATAGTTTATGCTGAAAGTTCGTCCATGTCATCTCGGAATTTGGCTGTGGTTGATATTGCAGGCTCTTGGCATTTTTTGTCTTATTTTCCATTTTAATTTTAATTTGAACTTCTTTTTTTTTTGGGGGGGGGGGTTGGGGGGTTGGGGGGGGGGTATTAAAGAAGAACTTCCGGTAAGAGATATGAATAAAACGTCAGTACATTGATAACGATATCTGCTCAAAAGAAATATGCCATTGGGAATTATCAATCTTGCCCACGGCTGACAAGTGTGACAGAAATAACTTTCTGCATGATCACTGAGTCTCCTGAGGCTATGGTCATCCATGTGCACATTTCTAGGTTAAATATGCAGAAAAAAGGTCGACCGTGCTCTTCACGAATTGTCAAAAACTCAAGAGTTCTGTCAGCATGCAATAAACGTAATATCTCATTTCCTCCATATAGCCAAGAACTTTTACTTCTTTGTATTGTTCAAAGGGTATACTGTTGTCGTATGTGACCATGACAATAAGGGTATAAGGCACTTTCACGTGCCTATATAAATACAGTGACATAGTACGTGACGCATGGTAACTATACAACGGTTGCCTTAATTACATGTATACAGTCTATATGCTAACAACGATCTTACCTTTTCATTACTTATTTATGATTTAACAACAAACAAAACACTTTATTTATTCATTTTGTATGAGACAAATGAAACACAGGACTGGTGTTTGTATGGAGATGTCGAGAAGTACGCATTTCTCTCTGTTCTGGTCTGCTTGGAAGAGATTAGAGACTTTTAGATTTGCACGACGACATAGTCGACTGCTACGCGTGAAGTCCTTATAAGGCACTGGCAGTGCCTTATAAGGACACTATAGTGCCTTATAAGGACGTCACACGTAGCAGTCCACTTTGTCGTCGTGCAAATCTAAAAGTCCCTAGTATTACATCAGCCAAAGCAAAGCTACTGCAATAGTGCAGTGCACGATCACTGGATATGTAAGAAATAAGGGTTGGCTTTCGTCCGCATTGCGTCATTGTTAATTTAATGTGTCGAGACTGAGGAAGTAGCATATACCTGACATTTACGTGTTAAAATGCCGAAAGCCCGGCATATATATATTCTCGCACTTTCATATATATATATATATATATATATTTGACAAAGGCTATGGTTGTTTCATTATTCCTTCTTCATTTCGTCTAATTTTCCTCAACCGCCGCAGGACTATTTTTATTTTTATTTTCATTTTTATTCTTATTCTTATATGAATATATATTAAAAAAATATTTGTCAGTGTGGTAGAGAAACGCTCGTTGCCAAAAAACATCACCTTCAAAGGTTGCGCTGACATCTTTGGAAAATGGAAAACCGCGAAATTTATCTGGAGGCAATGGGCGGCATACGACTCGGCGAAATTAAAGCAAAACAAGATGGCTTCCAAAAGGTGGGAACATGAGAAACTGCTAAGATGTCTTCGCCTGATGAGCTCCATTAGTTGATTGAAATAGGACAAAAGAAAAAAGTACATGTAAATATATAAATAGCTAATACACTAGCGTACTTTTTGTGCGGTATATTCCCCTTCTCTTGATATTACGGGAAATTATGTTGTTTTGAGGATTTAAATAAACAAACAAACCTCCAAACTGATGTGAAAGCCATGCCAGGGAGGGGCACAACTACGTGTAAAAGGTGATGCAAAGATGACGTGTTATCCATGGAAAAGGATTGCCATCTATGTAAATGAGCAGATGAAATGATGAGGTGTTGCATACGGAAAACCCCGGGCATTTAAAGGGAACTAATCGAACACAGAACATGGTGTGTTCTATATTTACGCATTCTTGTTTTATACTGGTGTGATAGTGTTATGAATAAACCAATGCAACTTTGAATATTCATGTTTTCGGGATTAGTTGAGATAGCGTACTCAACATGTACTGATTTGAGGTAATCACTCGCCTGTTGTTTCAGATCATTTTTTTTTAATCGTCATCATTTTTGTTGTTTTGTATCCTCGAACCACCCCCATGTTACAGAGACTATTTCAAAAATATCATCTTTAAATAATGCTCTAAAGAACACTAATACACATTTTCTGAGGCCGAAATCACGTTCAAGCTCCAGCTTAAGATGGCGAACTCCTGCATTTTTTCTATTTTGAAATGATATATCAACTATGTGTTTATGAAGGTTTCATCAATCAAGTGATTTATAGTATGATATGATCATATATGTATTTTGACTTTTGGGTATAACATATATGCACATATCGTGTATATTAATTGTTATTATGTTAACAAATGCAGACACCAATGGAAACAAACAAACACCTTCCCTTTATGTCCTTGTATTGTCAACCATTTGCATTCATTATATAGTGGTTCTCTTGCATATTATAAATTCCTATCAGTGAAATGATATTGTAGTAAAACAAGGTGTTAATCTAAAGATATATTTAATTTCGTCACCTGTTCACTAGTTCAGCCATGTGTATTGTGGAATCCGGCTGTCAGTTATATGGGACTTAAGTGCAGCTCCAAAGGCCTTAGGCTTCCAATCGTATTCCTAAAATTGTTGAATACACACTGTTGATTTATAATTGCAGAGTCCGTATTTATTTTCAATTTATCTTGGTTATTTTTCCAGTTTTCATCATCGGATCCGGAAGTTGCCAGTGGGCCAATGACCTGATAGAGTGTGATCCTGGTTTCTTCCCGTGCGGTAACAGCACCGAGTGTGTGGCTCAGCAATTCCAGTGTGATGACATTGCACATTGCCAAAATGCTGCCGATGAAAGTGGATGTGGTAAGTCATTTCCAATATAAAAATATATCAATTATTGAATTTCGTAAACAATTTGTATTAGACTTTATTACTAATGACACACATCGTCCAATTGCAGTTCGTTACCGCGTAGTGCCTCTATAAATAGCCAGAGAGAATGAGAGACGAGGACTTAAAGGAAAATGGACAGTGAAAGAAAGTATTTTATAATATTAACTACCTGTATCAAGTAGCTACATTAGCCATTGGTGGTTCAATGGAAGATAACAAAATCTTGCACATCGTTAGTGGACAAATGAAAACAATTCACAAATTTTGTCGATATTAGTTTATAACATTTTGTTGCGGGGCTTGTCAGGGTCCGTTTAAAGCAAGAATTAGGTAGTAATTATGGTAGAGCCTCACTACATGTACCACTGGATGGATATGGAAAGCGTTTTTCCCATTGTTTTCTTTGCTGTGCAGCCATTGCTGACGGATGGCTCGCCCACTTTGATTATGTGCATCCCGTATCTGTCGGAGAGACCAAGGCCCTCAATGAATGCGGTGAGACCTTTATAATTATTCTGTTCTAAACGGTTTTTAAAAAACGCGTTCAGACTACTATAATTCTCTAGTCTGAATGTCGTACAGTGATGTATACAGAAACGGGTGTATAGTTCGAACGAAAACTCTATAATAATCAGGGTTCCGTTCGAGTCTGAACGTCGTATCTTACGAAAATCATACAACTCATCTGGGCTAATCGTCAGGGGCCATTGGTGATTGGCCATCTGCCATGATAATTAATGTTTTCAAAATTAGTTTCTCTACACGACGTTTCTTTATACGCTTTTGTTTTCTAGCCTGTACCCTCCTTTTACTACACAATAATCATTTAAATGACGTTTCTTTAAACGAGTGTCGTATAATATCCTAAATTATAAACACCTCCACATGACATGGCGTAGTATACGTAACACATGTTTTAATGGTGTTAAGCTCAAGTTTCGGAGTTATGGAAATGCAGAGTGTTATAAGTCAGATGTATTGGCGTAAACAACAAAAATGATTTCACATGTTGCTGTGGCTTGTTATCTCTGTTGTACGACTACAGTTTTAAATCTCATCTGAAAAGGCATTAATCATCCATTTTCATCTTGTCATTACATTAACACATAATTGTGTCACGCTTGTATAGTGATGAACTGTGACATTTAACTGTAGCAAATTATTATAAATTAATTTTAATAGGAAGAACGCACATTGCGTACTAAGGAGATTCCAGTCAAACAAACTGTTTGGCGTGTACGCAATATGTATTCTGACAACTGAAATACCAGTGTATGTAAAAGTGGTTACTGGGCTTTAAATAATTAGAAGGTGTGCTTTAGATTACGAAATGACCTATTGAATTACCAATAAATTGAGCGTTGCAAGCACTGTGATAAAAAAAAAATTCACAAGCACGCCAGGATTTAAACAAAAACAATTATTGTTTATTTCTTGTTATTCTCGTGATTATCATAGCTCTGGCCCAATATCCTGATGGTTGTGTTTGCAGTAAATTAACTCAACTCGATTGCTCAGAATTTAATTTGAACGAGGTCCCACCCAATCTACCAGAGAATATCACCAGACTGTAAGTATGTAACTCTGTGCAGTATCCTAAACGCTGTAAGTCTTATGAGGAGGTTTCGTGTTTCGTTCATTTGACTCTCAATCTAATAGTTAAATGTTCGAATCCAAGCCTGGCACTAATGTCCTTTGGCAAGACATCAATCCGCATTAGCCACTATTCATCCAGGTGAAAATGGTACCTTGCAATTCTATAGGGTGATAATAATTGAAAGGCCCTCGGGAAAATCGCAATTGATACTGATGTAGCTACCCTGAGGGAATAAGACGCACATCTGTATTTGTATTATTATATTATTATTCTCATCACTATTTCTGTTGGCAATTATGGATTTGGGGGAAAGTTTGATTTTCGTCGGCTAACAACATCACACATATAGACCACGAAAGGACATGCATTGCATAATTAAAGTCAACGCAGCCCAGCCTTATCTTAATGGACGACTTCAAGAATGTATTAAACATTTTATACGATTCCCACAATTGCTCATACCTTGCCATCTCATACCGATAAATATGTATGTGACCTGCATTCAGGCTATTTAAATATAAAAATATCGCCCAACAAGTGAATGCAATAGTTCGCCATCCTCCTTTACTACTACTATTACTATTCCTACTAATAATGATAATAATTATAACGATGATAGTAATATTAATAATGATTCTAATGGAAAGTGCTCATCTTGCATATAAATGGCATAATAGTTCGGAGAATCTATATATGTGTTTTTACATAATATGAAAACAAATATATATACACGCATATATAAGGGCCTTGTACACTTGTAGTAGGCTGTCGAGAAATTACAATAAATGTTGTGAACTGGTCTGCTGAAATAAGTTGAAACCTTTGCAGTCTCCCTTCTTCCTCTTTAATAGTTAAAGTGCCAACATTCATTTCTTATTGAACTGTTGGGGTGGGTTACTCAACGAGGTTCTTTCACCCTCCAACCAAGTGTGGTACTAACTGTATGTTTCATTTGCTTTACATTGTATCAAACCATTCTTATTATGTTTCATCAATTATCAAAGAAATTGCAGTGCACTCAGGCAAATGTTCTTCACTAGCAGCAGCAGTGGTGCTTCGTGTTCTTTCTGTGATACATTTTGATCTTCTGAAAACGACCTAATAGAACAACTCTTGATTATTAATCAACAACGAATTTGTGCTTTAAAACCGCTTATTTATACAGATACCTGAAATCAAACAACATTGTGAACATCGGAAGTGAACTACTTGCAAACTATTCATCACTCGTATACCTGTAAGTCTGATTTTGTGTTTGTTTTTGCTGCGATTGCATTTTATGCATTCTCATCCTCATGTAAACATTTTCCCATGATTTTTGGTCTTTTCCTCTCTCTTTATTTTTTTAAACTCTATCGGTCATTTCAACGAATAGGGAACAAATCGATTATGAAGTAAATTACATATATTTATTGTTATATATGAAAAGAAACGTTAATTTTATTTCAATACCTTTTGTAAATCTATATTCTAAATTTTATGTGATGGCACATTGCTTTGATTTAATTATATCATGAGTAAATTGCGGTTTATAAATACGATACAATACAATATATCGCGACAATATGTTTAGACTTTAGACTGAACCACTAACGGCTGATAATTGTATTCCAATACAGGAACTTGATGGGAAATAGAATCCACGAAATAGCCGAGAATTCTTTCCGGAACCTGCGTAATCTCAAAAGACTGTAAGTTGATCGGGGATCTTTATTGATCCGGGCTGGTCTGATATTGTGATCTTTGAAGAAACAATTGCGTTTGCGCGGAGGTGCGCGAGGAAGTGGGTTGTGTGAGCATGCATGAGTGGAGTGTGTATGGTGTGTGAGGGGTATGTCGATGTGCGCATATATTTTGGTGGTCCTATTTTCTTTGCTGGATTTCCATTTATCCTGAAAATTAACCTGAAAGTGCGGTCTTTTTCCCAGTAAGGGTATTCGAGAAAAATCTATCTCTCAAATTAGGGGAAATAGACGAATTTCACTGTCCTCCCAAAGAAAGTAGTCAGTTATCTGTTGACTCATCTCTAAACAGCGTACCCACTGGCTACAGACGTGTAAAATTGGGGTAAATGAAAAGTCGTATATTGTTTTGAAACTCATAAATGAGGGAAACATTTAAAGAAATCGGGGGAGAGCGGGAAATTTGTTTTCATAATATTTTCTTTAAAATTATGAAAGTAATGAACAAATGATCGACATATTTTACTGTCTTTTGCGTCCGTTCCGAAAAAAAAAATAACTAACCGACAAGGGTCTAATAATCTTCAAATCGAGAGAAGGTGTAAGTATGAAGTGACATCAACTGACTATTTTGCCTTGCAAATTATCCAGTTATCTTATATTTGATAGATCGCCTTGAGAAATCACGATTATATCTCTGGAATCCTTAAACGATAATTTGTTTAGATTTTTAGTTCCACCAATTTGTTATCTAAAATGTTGCTGTCCATTTGATTGAAATAAATTGATTCGGGTAAAATATATGAGAATGTATAGGTCGAAAATCACATTCCATTTTTTTGTAAAATCTCCACGAACTTTGGTCACCCCATCCAGGCGCGTACACAGGGGGAGGGTTTGGGAGGTTAAACCCCCCCCCCCTTTGGTATTTTTTTGTATGTAACCCCCCCCCCCCCCTAAATTTCCCTAAAACCCCCCCCCCTTTTGGATGTTTTTTTTTTTTTTTTTTTTTTTTTTGTATTAAAAAAAAATATATATATATATAATATATATATATATATTCCCATGGCTGACCTCAAAAAGAAGACCTTACCCCCCCCCCCCCAACGGAGAAAAATGTCAAATTTTCAAATTTCGATACCAAAAAAAAAAGAAAAAATGTCCTCTTTACCCCCCCCCCCCCCACGGCTGAGTCGTTGCGATTTTTTGGGGAAAGAAAAAAAAAAAAAAAAAAAAGTGACCTCTTACCCCCCCCCCCCCCCCCCCCCCCCCCGCTTATTCAGCGGCTGGCTGAGTCGTTGCGAAATTTTTAATTTATAAATGTTAAACCCCCCCCCCCCCCCTTGAAAAAATCCTGCGTACGCGCCTGACCCCATTAAAAATCGCACAATCATGGAGGCCGCCATTTGGTTTCTTGGATAACGCCATATCTTGCAGTGCGCGCGCCGCCAAAGCATTGTCATGCCGTTTAGAATTACTACGCATCAAGATGTGTGAATCAAGAATGCTACACGTGCTGCACGCAACTTGCATAGGTGCTGCTGCAAAAAAAAAAATGCATAGCCGGGCGCGATGGAAAAAAATAAAGCATAAACACGTGATTTGAATACATGTTTGCCATTGGCTAGATTCTTTAACCCGTTTTATAATGCTTGAAATACACGGTGTGACTACGTCTTACGTCATCTTACCAAATGTTTGTGTCCACAGCTTTCTTTCGGAGAATAACATATCACGTATACAAACGGGAGCCTTTAATGGACTGAGCGGTTTACACTGGCTGTGAGTATGTTCATGAGACCTAATTCTATATATTTGTAAGCTTTCGCTAAAGCGAAATTTTATCCGACCATGGACCTACTAATCCGACACGGCTGTAACATGAACTGTTGTCGAAATCACCAATTATTGTAGTAAGTCCTGCTCTAGATAGGCAATGCCCAGACGGTACAACTAGTGGTCTAGCTAGTTAAGGCCCGGGGTACTTGCTTATCCCCCTACCCTTTTGAACGGCGAAAAAAATATACAAATAAAGGGGAAAAGGAGAAGAGAGACTGATCCCCGCACTCCCCCTACTCTTGTAAACTCGCATGACATTTCCAGATTAAGATCGGTTCCGCCCCCACCTCGTCGTCCCAGGGCCCCTCAGTTAATGGACTCACGTTACATCACTGGGTATATACCTAAACTTATCGCATATCCTGAAGACCGACGAAGTGTTTCATTTTTGTTTGTTTCTTTTTTGTTTGTTTTCCTTTGAACGCAGCTTCCGGATACAATGTGATGTGTTAAAGCAAGTGAATAATCGCTTTTCACGGCATCTTTGATCTTCTCTCCATTCATTAAGCATTGCAATTATAAAACTAGGAGGCCGGAACGAAATTATATAGTTGAGAAATGAACGAATGAACCGGAATAATTGTGACCAGCATCTGAAGACGATGAGACTGAATGAGCATCCCATAATATTATGTGTCGTGATGATTTTGACAAAAAATATTTTTATGTGCAAGGAAGAACAGCAACAGTAACATCATAGACAATTTAAACAAATGCGACTTTAGATTAATTAGTTCTACAGAACATTTGTTGAGGTGTTTTTAAGCCTTTAAATGCTTCTTTAGTACACAATTTATTCACGCTTTTCTTTAACACACCGTCTTTTCTCATAATGGCTTTGTCGCCTTTGCCTTTTACCCGCTCTGTTCATATATTTTTGTTTACCTTTTATCAACATTGTTCCCTAGATTTCTAAACGACAATAAAATGCGGACTCTGGAACCAGGCATATTTCTCGGATTAGAAGGCCTGTATTGGTTGTAAGTTACCCTATCCAAATAAAAGTAATATTAGTAGTAGTAGTAGTAGTAGTAGAAGTAGTAGTAGTAAAAGTAGAATTAACATTAGTAGTAGTAGTAGCAGCAGTAGTGGATACAGTAGTATTAGCAGTTAGTAGTAAAACTTGCAGCAGCAGCAATAGTAGTAGTGTTATAGTATTAGTAATAGTAGTTGTGGTTTGTTGGAAAACTAATTTTGTTCAATACAAAGGTAATTTACTACGAGGTCGATATACTTTTTCCCCAAGACTTTTGTTTTATACATGTAAAAAAAAAATTGTGCTTTGTATGATAATAAAAAATGATTACTTCGTGAAGTTTGCTTAAAGTGAAAGCAAAGGGCACAAGTCCGAAAGGACTTTTTTAAAGTTTACCATTTTCTGACATTTTTCTGAAACGTATACTTCTCCTTTAATATCAAACCTCTGTGAAATAATAAGATCCGCCCCCGTTTACAATATAAACAAATCTTGAATTATAAAGAAGATTATCAGCGACGATTACAAGAGAAGAGCAAAGACTTGCTCAATAGGCCACTTCATAAATAGTTCTTTAATAAATGACCGCAAATTTCCACAGATCCTTTACACATGGAGACGTCCCACTTTGTGTATTTAAGTATGATCACTGCCAAAGCAATAACGGTGCTTCATGAATATCTTTTGTTTACCCACTGGTAATAGAAGTACGTCCACTTGTGTATCGTAGAATCGACCGCAGGTGCATAGATGAATAATGATTAAATATAACTTTCATGAACACGTATACAGCAGTCGTTTTTTAACAGGATTGTATAAATAACCTTATATGCCCGTGCGTAGATAGAGTCTCCGAAACGGATTATATGCATGGGAGGGGTCTGTATAAGGTGATATTATTATCATTTTGGGATGTAATTCATCTTACCTCTGAGAATACGTGGCTCGGAGAAATTGAGTTGTTGAGAGCCGATGCTGAATGCTGCCCTCGAAGTTGAACGGAAATGCATAATTATATGGCCTATTTCTCTCGCTCTGTTTCTTTGTAGGAATTTGCAAAAATGCTCCTGTCAAAGTTGATATTGATGTATACATATTTTACCCGAAGGAACCTTCGGCATTACCATAGAAATAAAGGAATTACCATAGAGGAATGTTAAACAAGGAAACACATTTTTTCTCAGTTTAGATAACCTTGATCGAGAATGTGTATTGCCTTCGGCACAATATAAATCTTGCAACTAATTTGTTAAACAAATTTAGATTTGTGAAATTTTTTTAGGCCCTCATACAGTGTGAGTCAAAAAGAAGTTTGCACCTCGAAAAATGATAATTATTGAATTTTTTTATATTAACAGTAAATTAGTATACATCTCATGAAAGAGTGTTTTATCCCAAATCATATAGTATCATTTTTGTGTGGTATTTGTTCACGCTTGGATGAACAAGAGGCATTGTTTGCGAGAGGGTAAACATCGACTTGCGCTAAAGTAGCTTATGTCATGTTTTACAGTGAGAGAATGTATTGAATGTATCATATGAGATGCATTGCATAATTTGTTTAATAATTTGCAATTTTGTAGGTGTAAACTTTTTTTTGACTCGCACGGTATAATAAAAGCCGCCGTGTTAAAAAAATTATAAAGTGTCTTACTATTTATGATTAAATCGACAGAGATATGCGTAATAATGAAATCAGAGATTTACAGGAAGGAGAAGCACTCAAAGATCTTAAATCACTTGTTTGGCTGTAAGTATATTCGTATATCCATGTAAATACATACATACGTGAATACATCCTCATACATACATGCACATATACATTATGCATTTTCATTTGATGCTGTTAATGGTAGTGTTAAGCTGGTAGCTTCGAACAATATCGATCGCAAAGACTTTCGAAAAAATCAACCTGATACCTCAGTCACACCACGAAATTGACTGCAAACCAACCCCAAACCGACCCATTCTTGCCATTGAAGATAATGTAATGGCTTGTTCGGTCTGTAGGCGGTCTGGTGTTGGACTCTTTGGTGTGAGTGTGGTATAAGGCGATTTCAAAAGCCTCGTTCCTCACCTTCATCCATCCTTGGAATGTGCGAACGTTGCCATGACGTATTGCGTAATCCGATCAAGATTTCTATATGATTTGATTTTCAGAAAATTCTTTGCGATAGCGTTGTTTTAAAAAAGAGCAAATCAAAACATGGAAAGCTAATTTGGGGTCCTACCGAAGTGAAATCTTTGGGTGACTTACTATCTTGTTCCCGAGATCTTTTTCCATACTCCCATCGAAATAATTATCTTTTCGCATTTATCTTCAATATTAAATGTAATGACAGATCCAGAGTAATTTATGATTTGTGAACAATTTACCGGGCAATTTGTTTTCCAATGCAATAGCATGCATGTATGCGTTTCTGGGTGAACCCTACAAATGCGTTCATGAGAACTGGGGTATAGAAATTGGCGCCGCGTACTAGATCCACCCTCTTTTGGGCAAACCCAGGATCTACCACTGTAGTGTGGAATGGAGGGGGACACAAATGGACAACCGACACGTTGTTTGCTCAAGTAAATTCTCCTCAAACTGTTAAAATCTATTTAAAATTTCGGTTTGTGTGTGTGTGTGTGTGTGTGTGTGTGCGTGTGTGCGTGGTTGTGTGCTCAGTTTCTCCAATAATTTGAACAAATCTTCGTGATGACCTGTTTGTTTATGTTAACATACTTCTGCAGTGACTTTGAAGGGAATGATATCAGAAGCATAAATGCAAGATCTTTTGCTGGGAATACTTCTCTGACAGTTTTGTAAGTACTTCAGTACGGTTGTTAACTCATAATTTATATTTATTTATTCATGAAATCCATGAACGTTACACCTTTTATATTCGTAAAGCTTGGATTTTTTTATTTCACAGTTTCAAATATATGTTGTGATTGGGTTAAATTCACTTTATATGTAAAGAAGAGCTAAATCCTTACACAAATATACATCCATAGTGACTTCGTGCAGTATATAATTTAGGTAATCAAATGCCTAAAGCGCTTCGAGGCACGTACGATAAGATCCACCACACATAATTGATGCCTAAAAGTGGTCAATGTGATATGAGTTTCCACCGCTCTTCCTGTTGATTGAACATTATGATATCATGTGTTGCATTCAGAATTTTAAGCAAACACCAATTATTGTGCAACTTTAATTAATGTTGACTAGTGATGTTTCAGTAGTAGCATCTCTTCAAAACAAAACAAAATTATGATTTAAAGGTTGAAGGAATACGTATTGTTTTCAACTAAAGGAAAGACTTCCTATTTCGAATTGTAACTCTACTTTACACACTGAGAAAAAATGGTGCAAGTATGCACCTTTAGGGGTGCAAACCGATGCAACATTGGCATGACCTTTAGGGGTTAAATCCTGCACCCTTTAAAAGGGTGCCAGATTGAACCTGTTAGGGGACATGTTAGTACCCTTTATGGGTTCAATCCTGCACCCTTTAAGAGGGAGCCAGATTGCACCTTTTAGGAAACATGTTAATACCCTTAATGGTTCAATGCTACTTCAGTAGGGGTGTAAACTGATACAACAGCAGTTTGTTTGCCCATGCCTTGAGCCATAATGCATGGCCATCCAGAGGATTTGTTTATGTTGGGGATCGGGGTAAAATGCAATAAATTATTGAAAATTTATTGCATTTTCTGTTTTTTATTTTATTTATGGAAACTGCCCCCTACCCTAGCCCCCACTGCGTACAGTCATGGTTCAGTGACAAAGCAATGGCCTCGTAACTGTGAGGCCCTAGGATCAAAAACCGTGTCGATGTGCTATATTAGTGCCCTTTTGTGGGTCATTAATCCTCATTACTGTCATTTATGACTTAAGGGTGTAGGTCCCCTAGTTTATAAGAATAGTAGCATACACATGCTTTAGCAGTCGCGCAAAACACACATTGGCAAATTATTATTAAATAAAATCTGAGAATGAATACTATTATCTAGATCTATTATTTTCAAATAATTTTTAAAATAATCCATAAATTGGGGTAAAACAAAAATATTCCAACTTTATGAGTGACAGTGTATATAATCAATATATCTATTGCTAAAACGTGAATGTAATTGTAACATGATCAGGCAAAATAATCTATTTGTTAATGATTTTTTACTTTTATTTTGCACCCTTTTTTGGTCGATAGGGTTCATTTTTGTGGGAAGGGTACAACATCTTATATTGCACCCTTTTTTAACCCCTTTTCCTTCAATAGGGCTCATTTTTATGTTAAGGGTGCAAACTCTTATTTTGCACCCTTTTTTGCACCCTTTTTTCTTAGAGTGTAAAGCAAATACTCCAACATGTTAGTTTTCCTTTACAATTTTCATAACCTTTTTTTTGAACGCAAGTAGAGTTTTGACTAATACATTCGTATTCATTAAAAGAGAACATGATGTATAAACGACGGTTTTGGCGGAAAACCCCTAGGACTATTGATTGTATTTCAGACACGTCGGCAAAGTAAAATGGACCCCACGAAGCACTTTTGTAAGATAAAATGCACAAGCCAGAAGGAAAACGTCGATTTTGATAGATTTTTCGAATGTTACGGTGAAGTGATCGGAATTAATTTAAGGTTACATTTACAATTTCGCTTTTTTTTTAATCTCTTTTTTTTTGTAGCAGTCACGTCAGAAACTCTTCCTGCTTTCAATATTTTATGGAATGCTCTCTTTGAAATCATGAAAATGACACCGCAAGAGTTAATATGCTGTTGCCAACAAACGAAAAGGGGAAATTGGGAAATATAATACTGAGAAACGGTGAAGGTCATTGCCTAATTGCGGAAGGTAATATCATAGTCGTCATCCCTTAGGGTGACCCGTGTCGACCTTCCAGTTTCTCAGGGTTGTTGACCATTAATAATACAAATTCAGAAGGGAAATCAAGGGGACAGGAGAATAGAATACTGAATTCTGAAGGTAAAGGACGATCGCACATGGTAGAAGATATCAGATTGTTGATAAGGCCAACGCGATAGAAGATGCGAGATTGTCGTATTTGTCATATGCAAGCATAAAATCAGACCGTTACAACACTACAAATAAGACGTTACATGTTGTAAAATTCAACCATTTATATAGGTTTGAAAATAGTAAGATAATTACAAAAAAAACATGGTCGTAGCCAATGGAATACACGTGCAATATCGATGTCATTCTTGAATGTATCTTTTTCTGTTAATATTTTTCATATCTTTTGCCTCAGAATACTTAGAAACAACAGTATAGAATCGATTGAGAGGGACGCCTTCACCTCATTAGGAACTCTAGTGGAATTGTGAGTATCTAAGTTAAATCCATGCATTAGTATATTGTTATTATGTGAAAATCAGGTTTGCATGCACTATTTTGAGAATGATACACACTCAAGGGATTACCTATCATGTTAATGGACATATTATGACTACATCCCTTCTATATTCGTGTATTTTTATACCGCTCGTTCCAGTTTATACTTGAAATAGACTGATACAAAGGTACGGGGGCACTGGGGTATGTGATCCCCAATCGAATTGATGAAAGTAACAGAGAGAGCGGGAGAAAAACAGAAAGAGGAATAACCACCCTTCCCTCTCTTGATCGTCTAATCATCTCCTTTTCGACTTGAGCGCCTCCATCCTCCGCCCCTTACACCAGTGCTCCTCAATGCATGGCTTCACCACTGACCACTATTCCCATGATTCCGATTACAATTCAATGCATTCGCAGAGTAGCCTTTTTCATCACTGCACATCGTGTGACGCTCAATAAATGGACAAAGCGTTCAATCTTTCTTCGTATCCCGGACAATCAAAGTAATATCAATAGTGCAAGAGTAGATGACCATGACTGTATTCATTTCAATAGTGACCTTACTCGCCCACCAACGCAATGTTAACTCGATATATATACATGTCACACGAGTGCTCCAAGTGCAGAATTGGCTTACGCTGTCTGTCACTGAAAGTGAGTTTAAAGTGAACCTTAAGGAGGCTAAGTAGTCATTTGAGAGACGGAATAAAGAGGTTTTAGTCTGCAAGGTCTGATCCGCTGCTCAACGCAATATTACCGTGGCATAATGGGGAACACGACAACGAGGTATTTTTTTTATTGAGAGCGGAGGAAAAGACTTGACCTGGAAAGATGTCTCCAGCTTCACGATCCCAAAGCACGAAATATAGCGCGCTTTAGTTTTCTTCAAGATATTAAAGAACGTATCCAGCTACCGCCTCCTGTCCGGATCATGCATGTCACCGGACCTCAAAGTCAACTTCTACAGTAACTGTTCACCATGTTCGGAAATCGGAAAGGTGTCCACCTGTTTGGGACTCTGTCTAAAACATTTCTAAACTTGTACAAGTTTTGGCAACATCCACGTCAAAAATCGATTTGGTCGTGATAAAAATGTAATTATATCATGTATATAATTATAATGCTGAGCACGTGTTGTTTGTGACGCATGTACCACGTGACGTGCACACCATTCACAAAGCTTTCACAAAAGTCACGTATCGTGTATGCCCATTATGTGTCTTGTTCCGGAACGGGACGAGGCACATCTTCTGAGCAAAATTCCCCCCGCCCCCTCCTCAAAAGAAAAAGAAGAACTTAAAGCCCCTCTAATGTGGTGGGAGCCCCGAATTCGCCAACAATATGATGGCAAAAATAAAAGTTAAATTGTATCACAATGTGAAAGAGGATGTCATTTAAGACACACTTCTGCAAAGATTTCCCCAAAAATATGTCTCTGAAGAGAAATATTGATTTTAAAAAAAAATGGGGTTTTCTGTTTTCTGCGTATACCTAAATTGTGTATTCTGTAATTGACTGCAAGCATAATTGTTTCGAAATGTGCTTTGAATGACATCCTCTTTCACATTATCATACAATTGAAGTGAAATTTTGCCATCACATTTTGGGGGCTCCCAACAGTTCAGAGCTAAGGGCTTTAAGGAAAATAAAACAAAATAATAGGACGAACACCAACCAACGAGATAAATGAAAGTTATATGCCAAGGACTGATGGACATGGCAGATCATAAGTTCGTGCTAAACGATGTACTACAGAAGCTACAGAGCACTTTATATACCCCGTTTTGAGATTTAGGTATTTGATGAGTGGCGCCAAAGCTCATATGTTTACATCGCCTGTGTGTGAGTTGAATTTAGTTGCTTCGTTTTGCTTACACTTTTGTCCTGTCTTATTTTCTTCCTCAGAGATTTGTCGCACAACCAAATTTCCCATTTACCCGAGGGCATTTTCGATGGGTTACACACTCTAGAGATTCTGTAAGTATAATGAGAATGTGCTTAAAGTACTGAGAAGCATTTTGCAGGTTAAATGTTTTTTTTTTTTAAAGATGTTTTTGAAAACGCTTCTTTTGAAAAGTCATGATATTGCAGAAAACGAGTAGAATGATTTTAATAGATTTTGATGGTGTCTCCCTAATACGATATAAATATAAATTTACACTTCCCAAGTTTCTCCAGTTTGGGACATCTGTAACCTGAATATGTATTAACAGGAAGATGTCACGTTCAACGGTTAATCGTACAACGTAGGTAAGCAGATAATTCACAAGTTAAAAAATTAATCGTTTACTGTATTTTGGTTGCTTCCATTGAACGTGAACATGTTTGATTCAGCAGGTCTCAAATTGCTAGATTATATTAATCAAATAAAAAGAATGCTCCTTTGTATATTATATAATATAACTTAGTCATTATGCATAATGAGCCGAAAATATACTGAAATTTACTTTGGTCACGAGCATATGTTTGTGTCAGGAAAAACCTAAACAGCTTCAGATCATTTTCTTCTGGTGCCATTTCACAGGAGACTGAGGAACAACCCTCTGTTTTCCCTGCCCGTGGACGTGTTCCGAGGGATGAAGAAACTTGTAGACCTGTAAGTAATTAAAACAGTCATCTTTCATTGAAAGAACAAATGAAGTAATAGCCCCTAAAACCTAGTGCACACTGTACTATCTGACCGATATCCGAATTTGGAATAATTTTCAATAGCATTTGATATGAACATTCATACATGTGAAATGTCAATGACCTAGGATCTCATGCTTCATCGGAAGAGGAAAAAACTAAATCGCCTCAGAATCGTAATGACGTCAGACAAGTAGTGCGAGTATCCATTTTTTGAAGGACATTCGGCTTTTACTCTAACTAAAAGAGTTGAATGCACAAACACTCCGACTGTATGTATTTGTATCATTACTCCAAATCTAAAAATAAGGAAGACGATCTTTCTTCAGATTTTCATATATAATAATTTCTTCAAAAGCCTGATCGCATTTGGACCATATAGTGTACGGTGAGCTTTACAAAACATTAAGTTGGAATAACCAAAAAGGGGCATAAGAGAAATATACAGAATATAATAAATAAGGAATGAACTTACTTAAGCAGAGCAAATAAAATCGAAGCAGAATAAGGCATGATATTGTCTATTTATTCCTAAACTTATTAAACAACAGAGCAGTCATTATGAATTATTTTTATAAATTAGGAACAAAAGTGGAAGTTAAGATAAACAACAAATCTATATAGCTTTAATATTTGGGATTCAAGTCAACGATTGAAATGCAGTTCATGAAATGGTCAATGTGTATTATACCCTACTATATCATTTTTATACTAACATTTAATTTTCACTTCCTAAGGTTTAAATCAATAAAAATGAATGATACAGTGCTCTTGTTTCATTATCTCTGTCTGAAGAGATCTTGCAGAAATCATCATCGGAAATATCAACGTGGACATGTTTCAAGGGCTCACCAGACTTGAAAAGGTGTAAGTATATTAACTTTAATTGCAAATACATATTCAGTACCGCTGTCTTCACCACCAGGATAAATTTCGATATCATTTTACATAATTGATGTTATAATAATTGTTCAGATTAAAAATGAATAAACCAACTTTGCAGAATTTACAAGATGATAACGTATAAGCTACAAATTATATTATTTCAAGTTATCATTTCTCCTCTTTTACATCCCTCTCTCCTCGAATGTGTTTGTTTTTAGGGCTTTCGACAAATTCGAGTACTGTCGATACGCCCCGCACGTTCGTACCTGTACACCGCGATCTGATGGAATCTCGTCGTTCGAGAATCTCTTAAAAAACGTGGTTCTGCGAGTTTTTGTATGGACTATAGGTATCATCACCAGTGTGGGTAATCTAGGTGTACTGGTCAGCCGTGCTTTCATGAAGGCAGAAAATAAAGTCCATACGGTCGTCGTCATAAATCTATGCAGTAAGTTCAGTGTTGTGTTGTAGATTAAGGGAATTAAACCAAAATGCTTAACACTAATTCGTCAACACTGGCATGACTGGAAATGTGTTCTGTGAGTATAATCTGCATCATCCCCATGAATTCGTTCAGCCTCTATCTGGAAGTCTTTCAGCAAAAGAAGTTTTAAAAGTATTCAATTTCATGTCTAATAATATAGCCTTTGCCTGATGACCTATGTCAATAGGTCAATAACTTATATCATTTCGAAATTTCTTATGTCGATCCTACCACTTTTGTTTTAATATATGATGTTTTGAATAATAGATAAATATAAAATGCGCATGTGCATTTTCACATATATAAATTTGATAACAAATGGAATTTTCAATTTTTATATCTTTTATGAAGCTGCTGATTTTCTGATGGGAATCTACTTACTGATTATCGGAACTCATGATGTCAAATACCGAGACAACTACAACCAACATGCACTGGAATGGACCAACGGTATTACGTGCAAAGTTTCAGGGCTGCTTGCTATGATCTCCAGTGAGGTGTCAGTTCTGACTCTCATGTTCATATCTCTAGAACGCTACTTCATCATAGTATACCCGTACAGCTTTCAAAGGATTAAAACAAGACGGGCAATCATGGTGTTAGCCTTCATATGGTTCTTTGGAACCCTCCTTGCTGTGGTGCCAATCATTCCTGTGGACTATTTTGGAAACTTTTACGGAAGTAATGGCGTTTGTTTTCCGTTGCATCTCCACGAGCCGAGGATGAGGGGATGGGAGTATTCTGTCGTTGTCTTCTTAGGAATCAATTCCACTGCGTTCGTTGCTATAGCACTTTCGTATACAGGTACATAGCTTTGTGATAGGCAGGTCAGAGCTATTTTGTCCAATACCTAACCGACCCTTCTTAAATATAACTCTATCTGATAACTGCATCACGTTAATGTATAACCCTAGAACATGGAGCTCAGATCAGCTTAGATATGAGGCGGAATAAAGAACATATCTGATGCCAATAATATTCCAAAACCCTCGGTACTTGATAACGTATTGGAAAACTAACAACCAAATATATATGACTTGCCCAAACTATTACAAATTAACCGCTGTATAATTGATCTAAGATCTGTTTCCAATGGAGAAAAAAGCCCCGACTAATATTATTTTATTTCAATTTTTCATTGTTGTATTAATTTGCATAGGCCTAAATATGTATTCGATGAACAAGGTAAGAAAAATTTCATAAATAAAATCTTACAAATGATTTACTTTAGTAGCGTCATCTTGATTTGAAATCAAAGTTAAAGGGTAAGCGGACACCTTCTTTTTTTTTTTGGTCTCGAAATTTGAAAATTTGAAATTTTGTTCCGTTGGGGGGGGGGTAAGGTCACCTTTTTTAGGTCGGCCATTGATATTATTTTTATATTTTTGTAAGTTTTTATTTTTATTTTTATTTTAAAAAAAAAACTCAAAGGGGGGGGGGGGGGTTTGCCAAGAAACATAACAAAACATACATATAAACAAAAATCAAGGGGGGTTAACCCCTGAACCCTTCCCCCCCCCCCCCCCCCCCCCCCCCTGCGTACGCGCCTGATGACAAGGGGTACCAGCTTACAACTTCTTTATTTGCTTGTCATTTTCAAGGAATGTTTCTTAGCATACGAAAGACAAGACGAGCAGCGGCTCAGTGTGGAATGAAAGGAGACATGGCGTATGCTAAGCGTTTCTTCTTTGTTATCCTCACCGACTCTTTGTGCTGGCTGCCCATCGCCGTACTCAAGGTCATGTCTCTTTGCAACTTCATTATATCAGGTGAGACCGGGGCAAAATGTCATTAGCAGAAATACTCTAATGGATGCCGTTATAACTTGGGTAGTTACACTTTTACAAAGAGATGAGACCTGTCTGCTTTCTACATCAGTGGCATTAATACCACAGTATCCACCATAGTGCCATATTGTGATGAAGTGTTAACGTAAATGGTGGAGATATAGAATATAAAAGAGATGCTCCCCTATTATTACCTCTTCAGAAAGCATCCTAAATGATGTCAAAAGGAAATTAGGCCTACATGATAAATCCCGACCAGATGCATTCAACTCTTGTTTATGACTAAATCAAATTTTAGAGAAAGCTCCAGGAGCACTTTAAAATTTGCCTGATGAATTGGGTATGACAATAAAACTGATCCAAGGATTCCAAATGTTCGCATACAGTTTTAAGACGGTACTCTTATCAATGTTAAATATTTTCATCATTTTTTTTTCACAGCTTGCTAAAAAAAAACTGTTGGTCTCACTTGTCCCCGAAATTCTTTTTTTGCTTATCTTCACTTTTTTTAACATTAACCTTGCATTTAATTATCTCTTTTGAATACATTACAATTGTATCTTTTTAATTACAATTATATCTTTTTAATGCAGAAACCCTTTACGGCTGGATAATAGTTTTCGTCCTGCCAATCAACAGCGCCCTCAATCCAATACTGTATACCCTCAGCACTACGTCATTTGCCATGTGGTTCATGCGGCAGCTGAAGAGAGGTAAATTCAAGACATCTGGTTGCTACATCGGCAGTAATGTCGACATGTCAGAATTAAGAGGTTTGTTTTTGTAAACCTAGCAATTGGTGCACTTATTGCATGTACTCCACATCTTGAAAAAGCATGCACGTGGCACATCTTAAATTCTTAGTTTAATGAAATACTGAGCAATTCTATAAAGAGGCATATTAATATTATCACTAAATCGTCGATTCTATTAATTGTTATCTAACAAATAACGATTGGACTTTGTTACCAAGTCCTTCTATGTCTTTCTAACAATGAATAGATGAAATCGTAACATTTGTTGATGTGTGAAAAAGAAAACAAATATATCAATTTTGAATACCTACATATGGCTTACTTTGTTCTAAGCTGTTTTCGCGTCGGGTTGGGTTGTCGGGTTACACGAACTTTATGAAGACATACCCACACATTATCGAATTCACGTTAACTCTTTTTATATGTTATTTGTGAAAACATCTCCATACAATCAGACAATGGCGAAAAGTCCTTCGCTGGCCTTTTAAGAAACTCTTAAGATAAGACTTCGTATCTAAAAGAGTCGGGTCAAGATGTGAGTTTGGGTAGTTTTTATGTATTTTTTTTCAGAAAGTTTCATATAAACTCGCCCGAAAACTTTGGCGGTACGAGGGTATATTTTACAAACGTTACACCCGACTTTCCGGGTATTAGAGCTTGATTATTAACAAATTTTCGTGTAACCCGAAGATGCGAAGATCCCGTGGAACGAAGGAAGCCCTTACACACCACTAATAAATATCATCAATATGGGATAAAAATCTGGATATCTTTCAAATTCTGTACCACAGGCCGTCCGATGGAAAATGAAATACCCATCGCTAGCAAAGGGGCGGACAATATAGCCTAATAATGAGGACTAGAAATCAATTACAGATGAGGTACACAACTGTTACTCTGGGTTTGAATTGTTCTGTCTCATCTGAAACCCACTTTGATTTGATTTCTTTCACACTCGTCAAATATATCTTTATTTTAATGTCAATGTCACTTGTCTAGCCCACTTAAACTGTTGGAAGCGTTTTTTCCCTGTTTCAGTCCGCACTTAATTTCTTAACTATGTCTTGAGGGTGTTTTGCATGGAAAATAACATTTTGATCAACGCTCGTATGCACCTGCTCCGCTTGATCTAATATCAAATTGATTTATTAATGCTTAATATAATTGTTTCACTCCAGTATCCCATGGGCATAGGTATGTTGTCTCGATCGCTTAGCGATGTTATTCAGAGAACTTTGTCCAATAGTTTGTGTTTTGTATATGCGCCTCCATTACTGTATGGCCTTAAACTGTCACACATCCCCCTCTTTCTCTCACTCCCTCTCATTTTCTTTATACTTTCTCTACTTTCCTTCATTTCAAATATTAATCGTGGTGAAAGAATTGCACACATCCATTGCCTTTAATGCTCTTTTAGGTTTAGTTGATATAATTTGCCTTCATCTGCTTTAAATGAATGTCATAATTGTTTTAACCTTGGTAATAATTATAGTCTGGCTTAAACTGTGCGATGTCGTGTGCTTTTTCTTTTCACGAAGAGAAATACGTCAAAGTGAAATAATTTATACGTTGTCGTGCATTTCGTATTCTTAAGATTTAACTTGACGTGTTGTGAGTGTGCAAAATATGTAACTCGTTGCCAAGTCTCGATAAAATGTAGACAGCACTTGGAATTAGATGAGCATTATGCTGATGACTGGTGTAAACGATGCTTAATCGACGATCTAAATGGAAATCCCAAGGTCAATCTTGAGATAAACTCCCTGTCCTGATTCTAGCAATCTCTTACAACATGGGCCATTAGTAGGGGGAAATGCGAACAAACCCATTGCTCATAAACCAATCATGCAAACTGATTAATGGGCCACTTTCTGCTATCAGGTTCTTATGACAGCATGACTGTCATTTCAACTTTCATAAATCCAACGCTAGAATACATCTAAGGACAGGGGGGGGGAAATTCTAAATTATGGAAAATATATACATCCCCTGGATCATTAATCTTGTTAGCAGACGGTAATATGAGGAACAGTATTGGGTGTCGGGCATTACACCCAATTGTATCGTGTCCATTTGCTATGCGTTATGAAGCTACAAAACATCGCAATCTGGCGCAGGTAAATAAACGTAATGCAATTTAGAATATAGATCATCGGGTATTGGCATAGAAGGGGATGGGGAGGCTTATCCTTTTATCATGCAACCGTGTGACCAATCACAAAAGCCCTATTTGCACCAATCATGGGTCGATAGGAATTGAGTGAGGTAGTGAAATGAGGTTCGGTGTACTATTTCCACGTTTTGTTTCTATCAACATCTAGAAATTGATGAGTGCATGCTATTTGGCTGTGGGGGCGGCAGCGCAAGGAGGAGGGGGGCAAACAACCCTCTCGATAAGTTAATACGGCATATGAAATACAGATGATATTATATTGCGTGGGGGCGGTATCTCCCACTCTTATTTTACAGGAAATATTACCCTGGTTCAAATCCGCTGCATAACTTTAAAGTGACTCCAAGACATGTATGACTTGCATGGGGTTATTAAACAGTTGCTTGGAATTGCAGATAATATTTATTACATTCTTTTCCAAAGTTGATATTTGAGAAAGTAGTGAAATGGTCAATAAATTGAAGGTAAGAAAAATATTACCTTTTAGGGGAAGGTACAGAGAAGAATAATATCTACTAAAAAAACGAATAATGTATCTTATTGAAAAAAGTGTTTCTTACTTCCAGGTCGAATCGAGGAGTCCGGTGCCTTCACCTCGTATACAAACATGCCAAAGCGTGCCTCGTTCTTTTTACCCACCCGCAAACACCATGTCAGCTCCAAGGTCGAAGCAATCCCTGCTGTTTCTAGCTCTGTACCGTCCAGATCGGCAACGACCACGGCCATGACAAACAACATTCGGCCACTTCACACTATTAACGAAGGCGAGATCGTTGATAACAACTCTCAAAGTCAAGGGAACCATCAGTTAAGAAGAACACCGATTGTGCGGTTATGTGACCTAATGGAATGACGTTGGATTACCAGACTTGTGTGTTCCATCTCACTCGAAAGAGAGCCATCATCGAAGGGGGTGGGAATGGGGGGGGGGGGCTAAATTTCTCTTAAATCCGTTGCCTACGAGGTGTCATTAGGGACTTTAACATGTGCACGTCGACATAGTGGATTGCTACGTGTGACGTCCTTTTAAGGCAATGTGACGTCCTTTTAAGGCGGTGCCAGTGCCTTATAAGGACGTCACACGTAGCAGTTTACTATGTCGACGTGCAAATTAAAACTCTCTACTAGCTTGACGGAGGACTGCGTCAGTGATTGATGCGGTATCTGTCCCACCAGTGGGAGTGATACTGCACATGTATCGTTTTTTGTTTGAAGATCAGTATTGCCTTCATGGATTCGACTGGCCCTCGACAAAAAGCAGTTATGAGGCCTCGCGATTAATGGACGTTGATGTATATTATTTATTGTTCTACTGTTTATGTAATTTATATACAATCTTCTTTGTAATCGAATATGCAATACCATATATCCTGTTTTTTGTCTTATGCTATTCATTCGATAACGAAATAGCATTGTACATTAACACTGCCATTGCAATTTTCATTTGTAGTAACCTGATAACGTATCGTATTTCGCTACTATTCGTACCGACAAAAGATGGTCGGTAATGGCAATTTAATTTCTTTAAAAAGTTTGAAATTCTGCATATCTCAACAATACTAATGGCTCTCTGTTGATTATTAGTTTATTGTTTCTCCAATGATTATTTGTTAGGGCAACGTCGTGTTCTTGATTTGCTTTTAAAAAAATGAATAAATTTAACCATTATTAAAACATTATTTCTGATCGGTCAAATATTGTTCCATTTACAGAAATTGTTTTAAAGTGTGTCCCTTTAAATCAGTGTTAAAAGTGTTTCGTCGGTACTCTTCATGAAACATTTTTCATTAGCAATGATTTAAATTACCTAATTTGTTTAAAGTTATCTACACCACACCAATGATTGCAAATATGCTTTTAACAAATGATGCCTCTTAATTTCCCCTCCATGCAAACATATTAACTGTGTTGCAGTCATATGGATCGATGTTTGTTCTAAAATTGCCTAATTTTAGCTAAATTTTCATCATCAATATGTCAAATATATCATGAAAATAACGTTGGATGTGCAATCGTCTTGTAGTCTTTTTAAAAATTAAAGTTTATATAAAGATCTCTCAAGTAAGCACCAAACAACACTTTGTGTGGGGAAATAAAATGAAATTATTATATTCAAAGCTCGTCACATTATTTCTAAAAAATATTTGCTGCATTATTCCAAGGGAGCATTTTTTTTTATATGGTATTAAATCCATAATCATGCTGTCACGTCCGCTCTCATGCTTTTTGATTTATCTATCCATTACCCGGTATTACAATGTCATCATTTTATTGTGATACCCAATTTGCCATCTAAGTATATATACGTCATTAATTCCAGTTTAAGGACAAATCTTGATTGACGCCTTATTAAGGATTTATGGAATCGGAATCGAATTGAAGCTAGCTCCATTTGTTTAGTCTCTTTTTATCTACAGGTATATACATATACAGTGCGTCCCCCCCCCCAAAAAAAAAAAAAACGGAAACAAACGGATATAGTGGAAAAAAATCAATGAACTTGATAAATATAAATACTTGCTTTTCATTTTTAAAAAAAGCTAATATCCTTCCAAGTGATACGACGATAACTTTAATCAACACCCGCTTCTTTGAGTAAAATTGTTTTTAAAAATTGCATATCAAAATCCAATTGTGCCAATATTGGGTGAAACTGTGAAGATAGTTGAAAACGTTAGTATCACTCGAGAACATGACCGAAGATGACAAGAAGGAAACGAAAATTTCGAAACCGGATGGGATAATTGTTTTCAAGTGCTTCGTTTAATAGTTAGGGGGAAATTATTGCCACTATCATAATAATTAAGGATAGTGGAGATAGTGGAGATGGTGGGATGAGGGTCCATGGTGAGAGTTAACCCGGCTTATTTTGTACTGAAATGGGTTTGTAATTCTTCTGAACAGTGATTTCAACATTTTTCACCACTAATACTTCTTAAAAGAACAAAGCAAACAGTCTAGTGATATTTTCTCAATAATCAAAGTAAGGGGAACCGTACATTTTCCGATAGGGGAGAAATATTGTCCAAAGGGCATATAGGGCAGGAAATAAACCATCAAAATATATGATTTACCCTTAGGGCTTAGGATGACACCATTTTCAAAGCATTATTTGAATGAATATTACTTCTACTTTATGTAAAGCAAGAATATGTTTGTATACACCTCATAGTTTTCTCACAATTACCATTTGTTTTCGGGTTTCGTCTTTTTTTGGGACGCACTGTACATTCCATGCTCATAAATTCAGCAATAGATCATCAGATAATCGAAGCAAGCTTGCTTGCACTCATTTATCGTAAATTACCATGGACAGCGAAAAGAAACTTGTTTTCAACTCCAATATTCTTGGGGGCTATCAAAAGGGAAGTCCACCTTGATATCAAGTTGGCTTTAAAGGTACTATGTCCCATTTGCAGGCCAAAAAAATGAAAAGGTTAAATTCCAACGGCATTTGAAAGACAATACTAATTTAGAACTTCTCTAAAAAAAGGGGGGCTTGAAAATGTCTTTAAATGCTGAGATATGACCATCTGAATGAATATATTTCCTATAGGAACTCAGTGTTATATGCTCTGGCTCCTAACTATTTGGAAATTATTTTTGATGCTTTTTCGGAAAATGAAGAAAAAATTGAGAAATTCTGAAAATATAATTTTGATGACGTCACACTTTTACCAAATGTTCGTACGTTTTGTGCTGCACAAATATTCAATCAGTTTAATTTTAGCCATTACAAGTAGTTGGTTATTGATGTACACAAATGCTCATGTACCTGTTACAGCTCATGTTATGTATGTGATTACCAAAGATGAAAAAAGCCAGTCAGTCACTCAATAGTGTCTGACAGTGCAGTCTAGCAAGTAAACGGGTTTCCTTGCATAATTTGAATATTAGGAATCTGCTCAAGTTTAAAATTCACAGATAGGACATACATAACATATTTATAATTTCTGCAAGGTTCTACAGAATTTGATGTTGGCTGCAAAAGGGACATCGTATCTTTAAATAGATGCTGACAAATGAGAGATAAGTCAGTGAAAATATGATTGAGCAATAAGAATTTTTTAAGTTGCGATCAATCAAACACAAATTGGCAACTCTGTGACGTATGTCGAGGTTCATTCCAGTTTGCTGTGTACTAAAATAATCAGAAATTTCTTATATTCCCTAAACAAAATGTTCAATCATACATGCAACCTAAATAAAATTATTGCAAATATGTTTCTCTACAACCCACGTATGACAAAAATCCATTTACTTCATTAATGACTAGGAAAAAAAAATTATGACATTTTTATGTACAGAGCAAATGAGAGAGGAGATCTCAAGAAACGTGACAGCGTTTATAATGCAAGCATCATTGACTATAACTCGAGAACTTCTTATCCTTAAAATATTTTCTTCGAATTTTGCTCCAACTTTCACTCAACCCGGTTGTCTCATGTTTGTGCTTTTATTAAAATCATTCCGCGTACTTTTACAGAATGCGATTCTTTTAAAGTAGGGCTTCTCTCAAACTCGATTAAAATTGCCGGAGTAAGGGAGTTCGGAGTTTAAAGATCATGAAGGCAGACGAAATGAAATTGCTGGAGGAATTTTTCTTTTATTGTTTAGAATTCATGAACTGATAATGGGGTATAGGCCTCAGTCCTCTATCCGTTATAGGATACATCCCCCTCTCCGTTTCATTCCGCTCTTTATGGAAGCAATTTTTCTGTGGATCCGCGCCTGGGGCTAATTGTTATACAGCGTTTATCCATATTCAGATTTATAAACTACGAGCCATGAATAAATTCAGTGTAGTAGGATGGATTTGGATATTGGGGACGGGGGGGGGGGCTGACATCATGGGGGATATCTGCCTCACTCTGTAAATGAAATGGGAATTAACAAAGCCACCAATTATGTGCAGGTAGTCGGAACTTCTCTTCCCATTGTCCCTCATTCCTTTCATTGTTTCTTCTATTTTTGTTCTCTTTTTTCACCCAACATTCGACTGAGAAGGGGGAATGTGCCCCCTACCCCCATAAATATGCAATTGAACCTTGGACAAAGAGTAATTTTTCTGTCAGAAACATTACACAAGATCCATTGATAGATTACGAAATCTTTCACCCCAGACATAACCACCTGCCCGTATAGAAATGATAATAGGCATGCACAATATCCAAATGAAATAGACGGAAATTGATGTATGAACGAGGTGGGTGGGTTCATTCGGTGTGGGTGCGTATGGTGACCGAGAGGGAGGATGTGCATGTGTGTATAAGAGAATAGGGATTTTGCCGGTGTGAAACATTGGTAGTTATTTTTTTCAAGATGTGTTTCTCAGTTTGGTTTAATTAGTTCTTTTAACTATATATGCGCTTGTACATAATAAAAAGGCGCTTTATGAATATAATTTCATACTGTAATATATATGTTTAAGGGCTATATCCAAGTTTTTAAAATAATGTCAACATATTGATTGACTTTATTAGACTCTATTTGCGTTTGTATAAACGCATGGGGCTTTATAATCAACAGTCAGGTCGTCGCGCTCTGGTCGACATTAGGGACTTTTAGATTTGCACGTCTACAGCTTTGACTGTAACGTGTGACGTCATTTTAAGGCACTGCGCATGCGTCACGTCGTCTCAGTCGGCGATCGAGAATGCGTCAACCTTGATTTTCCTAAATCTAGTACGGTACTAGTATGCCGCGTGCGCGCGTGTGCACGCTTACACTATGAACATGAAGAAAGAGGACAAAATATACAGTTTCTCAGGTAGACAAAGGAACATCCCTTGTCTGCTATTATGTAAAATGTACAGGTGTCACATGCATATTCACCAGTTCTACACATTTTTACATAATAGCATGGAGGGGATTCCGATGTTCTTTTGTCTACCACAGCAATTGTTGAGGGTAGAATGAGGAATTGTATATTTTGTCCTCTTTCTTTCAAAGTGTTACTTCATGCATGCATGTATATCGTCGAGTGAGTCTAAGATTTCTAATTGTAGTCAACATGGGCAGTTGAGTACGTTGACACGCATGATCAGTCGGCGTTCGTCGTGTTCTCGTCCACATAATCTAAAAGTCCCTATTATCCTTTCCTCACCCCCCCCCCCCCCCCCAAGAAATTTTCCTTATCATTTTAGAGGGAAGACATGTACAGGCTAGGATAGCGGTAAAGACGATTGGAAAAGGAGGTTCTAGGACAATTATCCC